CATAACTTCCATGTTAAGTGGAACACACAGAATGACACAAAAGCACTTAATTGACTGGAGGTTTAAGTAACTGAGTTGAGAGAGTAGTTTAGTACGGAGAGAGGAAGATTACCACCGAGTCTTTTTGGATTAACCGTTGTAACCAAGAGAACGGATGGGGTGGTTTGGTTTTCATCGATCTTATGCCTGAAATTTTCTGCAGCCTGGTCCAGTAGATAAACGTTCAAAATTGGACCTCTGCAGTTTTAAATATGGTGTATGTTACATTAAAAAAAAAATTGGATGGATCATTTTTATTAAAGAAACGATGTATTTCATTGCTTGAAATGCAGACACTTACTCCGTTACCAACAACATCTACAACACACACACATAGTTAGACAGAATATTCAGAGAGTTTTAAGTTGATGATATCTCAACTAAACCTCACCATGAAGACCTCCTCTAAGATCGCGATTGGCTTTAAAATCTGCAAAGCTGTGGATCCTGAAGCGCTGGGACAAAATGGCTTCACTATTTTCTTCAAGCTTTGACAGGGCAGAGGTGTGTGTAAAGCAAATAACCAGCTTCTGATCATCCACACAGTACATCACCTTGTTGTTGGATGCAAAGAAGTTTGTGAGAGTGTAGATGCAGCCATGTTCGAGATCATTCTCATATCGGTTGAGACGGTTTTTAGGGATGAATCCCTGAGCTACAGTACCTTAGAGACCAAAGCAAAGAACTAATTCAGTTTCATATCTTAAAAAGTATTGCTTAAAAAACAAAATCGATTACTCTATCATGACTATGCAAAACAGAGTCAGTGATGAACAATATATTAAGGTGTGGAACAACAAACCAAACATATATTTTGTTTGGCGGTCCCAAACATATCTTAAATAGTAGGCTTCTATTAAAAAAACGACCTCCTTAAAAAAATTTTGTTCACCCTATTAAAACCCACTATTTTCACTTATCAACAGCCATACATACAATTAGGAATTTGGAAGAAAATAAGGCATCAACACTTAGTGCTTCATCAATAATCAGCATACCGAACCCAAGTAGTATGCCTTCATTCGAATTGTTTCTAGCTTCCCATAAATGGATTATCCTAAATATCAACTTAGAATCTCCTGGTCTTGCTGAAACCTGACTGAAGAGACACAGAGAAGGAGCTTGCCCGGTGGTGACTGCCGTTTGATTTGCCATGGTGTTAGGAATGAATTTGAGGATGCTTGAGATTGTTGGGTTGGGGAGGGTATATATATAGTCTGAAGGGGGAGAGGAGAGAGCTGGGATGAGTTTCGATTGTGTGAGTAATGATGGGTCTTTGAAGAGGCAGGGGTATCGTTGTTTGGGAGGAGGGACGTGGAGAGGTACTCAGAGGCTTCGCTTGATGAGTAATTAAGGAGCACTGAAGGTGGCATTGTTGTAGTCTTAGGCGTAACGCCGGTAGAGTTGGGTCGACGAAATGATATAAAGGAGTCGCTGGAGACGTCGGAGGCTATTAGGGTAAGGAAGAGGAAGTAATAAGTTTTAGAGTAGAATGGTCAGAATGGGAAGAGGAAGCAGTAAGTTTAAACATAAACAAATTATAAAGTTGGGCCAGAATGGCCTACGGTCATTTTAATAATGGACTAGATGACGTGTAGTAATTTTATTGACTAAAACATTGACATTTTTGGGATGCTTTTTTATAGTAGGATATTAACTTTTGTAATTTGTAATTTTTTTTTGTCAAAGATTTTATTAGTTGGGCTAAAACCCAAACTTACAAGAGATTACAACTCATTATCATACATATTTTTAGCACAGTCGAAGCCCAATCAAAAAGATAAGGATATAAGAAAAATAATTGTTTCTAAAAAATAAAACTTTGACACATGATTGACACATACACTTTTATGTGGAACTTAACGTTTCCGGATCCGAAAAGAGTGCCTCTAGTTTCGCCGGAAAATTACTGGACGAAGAACCATCTACCTTTTTCTTCGCCTGATTGAAACCGTTGACCGCTCCTCCTTCCCGTGTTCGCCGACGATCTTAGAAAATTCCACATCTTCACACTAAAGAAGAAGTCGGGTGATAACCTTCAAGGATATAGACATAAAACTTTGCCAGAACGCTTTCAACAAGAAAACTCCAGCAATTTAAGTCTGTATCAAGTCTCCTCAACTTAATCAATCATCTCGATCTCATACCTTCAAGGGTATTTCGCCTTAATATATGAAATGAAGATTAATACATTTTTCAAGTAAGAGACCCATTTTATCTATCGAAAAGACGAGAATCTCCATAAACCAATCAGAATATTCATTTGTCAGGGAAAGAAATAGTTCAAATTTAAGGTTAACACAACAAAAATCGCCAACGCGAATTTATTAAAATTCAACCTCAAAATCGATAAAAGAAGAGAAATATAAAAATTACAGATCAATTTAGAGTTGAAAACAAAAACAAAATCGACAACACGAAGGGAAAAGTCGATCAAAGATCAAAATATATTACAACAAAAGAAGATAAACTCGATCTCCAATGAAAGATAGAGATCGGTGAACAGAGGTTATCGAGAGGAAAACCTCTCTCTAAAAGTAGAGAGTAGTCTCTCTTTTTTAATTTGTATTTAAGTTTAGCTATTTATTACTGTTTATTTTCATGTTTAGTAAACTTTTAAGTCGTTCTATTGTATTTAATTGCATCATTACAGATTAATATGATTCTTCATGTTGGTTTTAACATTAAAGTATAAGCTAGTTTTTTTATTGCTAATTTAACTATGTAAACATATGGTATTTAATAATTTAGTTATGTTTTAACTTGGAATATAACATGAATTTGCGAGAAAAATGTTATCTTTGCCAAAAAAGTCAAGTTTATTTACTAAATTTCATCTACAATTTTATTTTAACTAAACTAATCATAGAATATAATCTATACTATCAAAAGATGGTTATTTTCTTCTCTTGCTGCCACATCATCTAAAGCAAAGGACAAACAATGATACGTGTCTCTTCCAAAATCTTTACATTTTAGTTTATTAGAAAGCAACCCATAAAATTGGAACAAAGATACTACTAATATGTACCTCAAGATACTACCAAAAAAAAAAGATACTACCAATATGTACCTCAAGATTTCCTTCAAAGAAGAGTCCACAAAAGTGACCGAATTCTCTAAAGACTTTATTTGTAATCTCAGATAATTTGTCATTATATATTTTGTAGTTAATGGATACATGACCTAAAAATTATGTAAAAAGAGATGTGATGATCAATTTCAAGTGGATGAAAAAAATCTT